AGCAGCCGTCTCTACCGTTGCCAGAAGCATGGAGAAAGGCTGCAAGCGTATAAACCTACCATCAGTACCAAAAGAGCAGAAACCTCTGCGCCGGAGAAGAGCCGGAAGCTCCCCGGCCCGACCCACAGAGGTTAATGCCAACAAAGTATGGCCTTTGAAAAACAATCTTGAACCGAAGGGACTATCACAAACTGAGGAGAGGAAGGATAAAAGGGCACCCTGATCAAGGACCAGGATGGCTCAGGCGGCGGATGAGCAGGCCGGAGGTGAAACACAACACAAGAAGCGTATGGAACGGGGCGGATGTGACGTCCACCCCGAACGCAAGCCGGAGCGGCTCCGCCAGTGCCGCACAATACGAGGCGACAGTAAGAAATTTTAAGCATCAATTAACCCTCAAACTGCGCATATCATATATAAATGATATCAGTGACAAAAACGAAACCGTGCACATCATTTATATATGATTTCGTGTCTAGCGCTATAATTTAAACGCCCCGCCTGGGATAGGGGCAGCTATAGTACAGCCATGACCGATAGTTGCCAGATGCCACCTAGAAAAAAAATCCAGGCCAACATTCTTGGGTGTTACAGCGTCACTATTGAGCAAGCCACCAAGGCTGGCGCACCCAGCACGAGCTCACAGCACCGCTCTTCAGCTTGTGACCACAGCATCGCCTACAAATACCATAATATAAATGATACTGCTATTATTTAGCAGTGATAGTATTACTGAAGCCTCCTGACTGTGATAAAACTGACCAGGATTCTGATAATAGCAGGATTGTGGTTATATTTAGCACTGTGCTCCATGGAAGGAGGAGTATATATATATATATATAATATATATATTCGGATATAAACCGAACTTGTAGGCATATACCTTGCCACTGAATTTTTAAAAGACAAAGGCAGTGGACTTATATACTGTGACTCGCAGAGTGCACTCCTGGCATTGATGAAAAATTTCAGGACATACAAAATACAGTACAGTATATACAATATTTGAAAAGAAAAGGCATTTCTGTGACTCATTTCACATACATTGTACTGTATTTCACTTATCATAATTTTTAATCTCTTTTCATAAGGGAGATTCCTAATACCAAAGACTCATCTTAGCATACTGTAATTCTCTATATATATTGTACAGTATTTCAATCTGCTTTATTTCATACATTTAATAATTTTTTATTAGCTTAAGATATTTATAATTCATGACAACCTGATTTTTTCAAATTCACATTTAGCAATTTCAATATTGTTTAATCAAACGATAATAACTTCTTATTTCCTTGTTTTAGATTCACATTTTTTAGCATTAAACTGCCCTTGTTAATCTTTCGTCCATTTTAAAGATCATCTAAGTACTGTACTTGATTCCAATTTTTCTGAATTTATTTTCAGCTCTTTTTTTTCAGCTCATTGACAAATTTGCTAATGTTGCTTTTCAATCCTATATATATTGTATTGAAATATTTTAAAATGTATGCATAGAAAATCTTGTATATATAGAATATGGTTAAAAGCAAAGGTCACAGAACAAATCAGGTACAACCCTATCATGTCTGAAATGTCACTACAATGGTGTGTCATTGTCAGGAACAGGAATTGTAAGGTCTAGTAATGTTCGCTTAGCCTATGGTACAGCTATTTACAGGTACCCATCCAATTACAGCCAGATACAGCAGTGCTTAACAAGACCATGGGCTCAGGGACTGAACCCCACAATTCATTTAGCTAAGCAAGTTACAATCTTGATGTGCTAGTTACAAAATTCAGTATAAGTCGTCACATCAACAATGGGTTCGAGATCGACCACAAGTACAGTTTCTAAATTAAGCAGCTGACATATGTGGAGAGCTAGTGTCACAATTGATATGTTTGTCCTGCACACCGCCCCCCCATCCAGTGGGCAGCGGTGGATAGGTTACAATCACTCTTAGTTACTACCTACAGTTAGCAAACTGGGGAAGACCAAGTAAAGCACACATTATCCAATGTGAATGTCTCAAGTTTTCTTTATGGTACATGCAGTTGTATGAAATATGCATATTAGTGGCTTTATTAAATATACGTATTCTAATAACCAATTAACCACTGCAACATATTCTTCAGTACATTTTTAGATATAAATTATTATTATTATTATTATTACATTATTAATTATTATTATTATTATTATTATTATTATTATTATTATTATTATTATTATTATTATTATACAGTGGCATTGTAGCATGACGCATCATTATGGTGTAACTAGATGGTTAGGTAAGGCTTGACTGTTATGTCTATGAACTTGACCTCATGTAATTACCTAAGTGTAGTTACAGGATGAGAGCTACGCTCGTGGTGTCCCGTCTACCCAGCACTCTTTGTCATATAACGCTTTGAAACTACTGACGGTTTTGGCCTCCACCACCTTCTCACCTAACTTGTTCTAACCGTCTACCACTCTGTTTGCAAAATGTGAGCACTTGTTGCTGTTACACACAGAAATCACAATAGCGTGATGTATCAAATGAACAAATCCACAAGGGCCGTGACGAGGATTCGAACCTGCGTCCTAGAGCATCCCAGACGCTGCCTTAATCGACTGAGCTACGAGATGGTATAAGAATTGCATCCAGAAATTCTACTGAATTTACTTGGATCCTGCAGCCTCTCCAAGACATAAACCAGGATTTTATTGCTGGTTTATTTTATCTTGTTGCTGATGTTAGGATTTAAGGGGCCACTACAGACAAGGGCCATATTGAGCCCTTCACAGTTTCCTAAAACAATCTGTCACACGACACTTCCATAACACCTAAGCCTTTGCAGCAGATATCTACACCTTAAGGGAAAAATTGTGACATCCTCTATCTACTTGCAGTGAGATGGGAATTGACTTGACATATTATTACCACAACATGGTGCACAATATACATTACAAGTTCTCAAAAATCCTCAGTAGCCAAACAAAATTCTTAGCCTCATGGTAGAATACCCAAGCCATCCATGGTAAAAAAAAAAGATACAGCAAAAACCCATAGCAAAAAGGACACAAGCACATCTACACATCTATCTAGAGGATAGATAGATGTGTAGATGTCTCTCTACATCTATCCTCTGGTGACCCATGATGGAAAGTGCCAGATATCCACAACGTCCTGAAGGCAAACCAGGATGACATATAAAGTGTCGTATGACAAAGTGTACTGGGAAGACAGGACCCCACGAGTGTAGCTCTCATCCTGTAACTACACTTAGGTAATTGCACCTGTTTCTTCTGGTATTTCATAACATTTAAAGTAGGGAAAGGGTTATATATGCCAGGTCTATAATCCACTAAATACAAAACTAGAATCCTGGAGGCAACAAGATTCGCCAGAGCAACAAAGCCCGCCTCCCACAATAAGGTGCTTGCCACATGTTGGGTAGTGGCGTCGCCTACACCAGGTGGTTACGACTATAATAATAATAATAATAATAATAATAATAATAATAATAATAATAATAATATTTTATTCACAAGAAGGTACAATGAGGAGTACAACATATCTTATGGTGAGATTACATAAGACTGGTATTTTTACATTCATGCAAAGCCACTAATACGCATACCGTTTCGGGCAGATCCTTAATCTAACATATCAGGCAAGATGAAGAGGTACATTGTAGCAAGGTTTTATATCAACAAATAACTACAATATAAATTGACAGAGGTGATTACACTGTTAAAGATATATATGTCTTAAGTACTAAATTTGGGGAAGTGGGTAGTACAAGATACTTACAGTGGGAGTTTGAAGCACAAGGTAGGAAACTATAAGGATAAAATTAGGTACTTTTTGGTTTTACTTTGGAATAGGACAAAGGTTGGACAGCTTTTTAAATTCATCAGGGAGTGACTTCCAAAGACTGGGTACTTTTATTTGCATGGAGTGTTTGCACAGATTTAGTTTGACTCTAGGGATATTATGCCCAACGACTTGGGCTGGATGGAAGAGTGACAGTCTCATTTCATGCAGGTCGCATTCTTTTTTTTTTTTTTTTTTTTTTTTTTTGAGATATATACAAGAGTTGTTACATTCTTGTACAGCCACTAGTACGCGTAGCGTTTCGGGCAAGTCCTTAATCCTATGGTCCCTGGAATACGATCCCCTGCCGCGAAGAATCGTTTTTTCATCTAAGTACACATTTTACTGTTGCGTTAAACAGAGGCTACAGTTAAGGAATTGCGCCCAGTAAATCCTCCCCGGCCAGGATACGAACCCATGACATAGCGCTCGCGGAACGCCAGGCGAGTGTCTTACCACTACACCACGGAGACTGCAGTCTCCGTGGTCATTCAATCCCTGACCGTTCAAATGGTTGGGCACCATTCCTTCCCCCAGTCCATCCCAAAACCTTATCCTGACTCCCTCCCAGTGCTATCTAGTCGTGATGGTTTGGCACTTTCCCTTGATAATTCCTTTCCCTTCTGGGGATATCAGATATATTTATAATATATCATATGTTTATATAAGATACATTTATAATATATCTTACGAACTTATAAGCAGAATGTATAAAAGTCCCGATAATAGTCGGGTTCATTCTTGACACATAATCGACAATTTCGGGTTCGAATCCCGGGCGGGACAGAAATGGTTGGCCTCATTTCCTTTCACCAAATGCACCTATTCACCTAGCAGTTAGTAGGTACTCAGGAGTTAGTCGGCTTATTGTGAGGTTGTATCCTGGACGGGGTCAGTAATTTGACCTTGAGAGGGGGGAGGGGTGGGGACCTCGATAAAAGCCAAACATGTTTATTTGATTTATTTATATACAGTATATACAAGAAGTTACATTGGGTTTATGAGAGTACATAGCATGATGTGTTCACACTCTTGTAAAGCCACTAGTACGCACAGCGTTTCGTGTATGAATACACTCTGGCTTCCTGTCCCCTGACACAATTAATTATTTTTGGTGTGGTGCTCAAGGGTTGTACACAAGACAATGAGGCTCACCTTGAGTCTGGAGTCTTGAGGATCTTGTCCAAAGCCAGCCGAGGGCTCCGGGAGTAGAGAGGCAGGAGAGACGTGTTCACGTACACCTGGGACCAGAAAGGACCCCCCGAGAGGACCCCCGTCAGAGAAGTGTGTGTGGTTTAGTGTTGGAGACCCCCCGAGAGGACCCCCGTCAGAGGAGAAGTGTGTGTGGTGTAGTGTTGGAGACCCCCCGAGAGGACCCCCGTCAGAGGAGAAGTGTGTGGTGTAGTGTTGGAGACCCCCCGAGAGGACCCCCGTCAGAGGAGAAGTGTGTGTGGTGTAGTGTTGGAGACCCCCTGAGAGGACCCCCGTCAGAGGAGAAGTGTGTGGTGTAGTGTTGGAGACCCCCCGAGAGGACCCCCGTCAGAGGAGAAGTGTGTGGTGTAGTGTTGGAGACCCCCCGAGAGGACCCCCGTCAGAGGAGAAGTGTGTGTGGTGTAGTGTTGGAGGTGCGGGTCACCACTCTCAGAGGTCTTGGTGTTGTTTACACAGTAGCAGTGACGTCACGAGATTAGTCTTGGGACACTACTACTCCCATTTCAATTACTCTCTCTAATTTCATATATATTTATATACAAGAGTTCTTACATTCTTGTAAAAGACACATGGAACACTTTATGTAGGGCAGATGTAACTCTGCGTATCTATGTATTTATGTCTGTAGATTAGATTAGTATTTTAAAAGCGCTACAATCACCTTCTGTGGTTGATTATGTTTAACACATCTCTAACCCTGTCCATGGAGGACAGAAGAAAATGTATATATACTGGTTAGCATTGTAAATGTGTGGCCACGTCTGTGGTAGAAAAAGAAAAAATCTTATAAAACCACTAGCACGCATAGTGTTTCGGAAGGTCCTTAATCCTAATTTGTTCACCGGAATACGACCCGCCATTCACTGTTGGGTGAACAGAGGCTACAGTTAAGGATTGGCGCCCAGTCAATCCTCCCTGGTCAGAATACGAACCCAGGCCAAAGCGCCGGGCGAGTGCTTTACCACTGCGCCACGGGGGATTGCTAATTGATTTGATTAACTTTAATAGCTGTTGTAACTTTACAACAGCTTACTGTTTAATAACTTTATCAATGTTGTACAGTATATATATAGGTCGTATATATTGTTTATGTTGATGTGTGTTACTGGCAAGAGTGTGGAGCAGCCGTGGGAGCCCCACACACACTGGTCACAATGGTCCTCACCTCAAGTCATCTCTACACGGCTATCACCTGCATCAAATTGCATCTATTTGCATTTAGACCCGGGCAAAATTGCTTTAGAAGGTCTAAACTGTTTCCCAGCTCAGAAACCATCGCTTAATAACATATCTAAAATTCAGCCAAATCGGACAACGAACGCCCTCCAAAAATCAGTATACTGATTCGTCCACAATTAGAGTACCGCAGCTTTCGCACAGATTTTCCAATAAGAATCTGGAAGTTTAGAGAAGAGAGGATATGAAGAGTGGGTTGGTATATGTTAAGAATAATTCTTACTACCCTACAGAACTTTAAACAGGAACTGAAATAGTTGTTTTTTCTTAATTTTAAAATTTGGTAAAAAAAAGGTACCTTACCTTGAGGTTACCTCGAGGTGTTTCCGGGGCTTAGCGTCCCTGCGGCCCGGTCGTCGACCAGGCCTCCTCGTTGCTGGACTGGTCGACCAAGCTGTTGGACGCGCCTGACGTATGAATCACAGCCTGGTTGATCAGGTATCCTTTGGAGGTGCTTATCCAGTTCTCTCTTGAACACTGTGAGAGGTCTGCCAGTTATGTCCCTTATGTGTAGTGGAAGCGTCTTGAACAGTCTCGGGCCTCTGATGTTGATAAAGTTCTCTCTCAGAGTACCTGTTACACCTCTGCTCTTCAACGGGGGTATTCTACACATCCTGCCATGCCTTCTGGTCTCATATGGTTTTATTTCTGTGTGCAGGTTTGGGACCAGCCCCTTTACTATTTTCCACGTGTAAATTATTATGTATCTCTCCCGCCTGAGCTCAGGAGAATACAGATTTAGACATTTTAGTCGGTCCCAATAGTTTAGATGTTTTACTGAGTAGATCTAAGCACTAAAGCACCAAGTATCTGCTCTGAGATCCATATTTCATCATCATGGCAGTCCTTTGTGTGGGTTTCCGTTAGGGCTGCAAACACTGCATTTGCCTCATGTAGGAGGCCATCTATAAAAATGAACTTTGTTAGATTTGCGTGTTTTTATACCCTGGATGTTGGCAAATATAAATGATGTTATCGTGTTTGTGGAAGTGCTGGATGCTTTACTTGGTGTTAATATCTGAGGCTCTGGTAAGGAGGCCACTGTGTTTGCGTCCTCTCTAGCATTTGACTGCGATGTTGGTAGAGTCTGGATATTTTTAGCCATTCTTCTCCTCTTTCTCTAAACAATCAAGTCAACAGAGTAGTGGCTGTTTTCATAGTGGCGGTCTGTCGGTTTTATTCGCCTGGTGCCTCTTATATGAAAAGCTGGACATTCCGTATTGAAGCATTCTTTCTTGTCTAAAGAGTTCTTGCAAATTTTTGAATGAAAGAATTCACAGCTTTTGGTACATTTACCCGTACTAAGTAGGTTTCTGCACTTTCTAGGGTGATCGTACTTACATGTTCCATTCGTTCTTCCCGACATCCTATGCTTACAGGTGCCACATTTGTAATACCGACAGGTTATGGGTCCTTGTTTCGTTCGTTTCCCTTTGTCAGAGACCACCGCGCTCTGCTCCGGCGCCACCGACACCACACTCTGCTCCGGCGCCACCGACACCACGCTCTGCTCCGGCGCCACCGACACCACACTCTGCTCCGGCGCCACCGACACCACGCTCTGCTCCGGCGCCACCGACACCACGCTCTGCTCAGGCGCCACCGACACCACGCTCTGCTCAGGCGCCACCGACACCACGCTCTGCTCCGGCGCCACCGACACCTCGCTCTGCTCCGGCGCCACCGACACCACGCTCTGCTCCGGCGCCACCGACACCACGCTCTGCTCCGGCGCCACCGACACCACGCTCTGCTCAGGCGCCACCGACACCACGCTCTGCTCAGGCGCCACCGACACCACGCTCTGCTCAGGCGCCACCGACACCACGCTCTGCTCAGGCGCCACCGACACCACGCTCTGCTCAGGCGCCACCGACACCACGCTCTGCTCAGGCGCCACCGACACCACGCTCTGCTCAGGCGCCACCGACACCACACTCTGCTCCGGCGCCACCGACACCACGCTCTGCTCCGGCGCCACCGACACCACGCTCTGCTCAGGCGCCACCGACACCACGCTCTGCTCAGGCGCCACCGACACCACGCTTTGCTCCGGCGCCACCGACACCACGCTCTGCTCCGGCGCCACCGACACCACGCTCTGCTCCGGCGCCACCGACACCACGCTCTGCTCAGGCGCCACCGACACCACGCTCTGCTCAGGCGCCACCGACACTACGCTCTGCTCAGGCGCCACCGACACTACGCTCTGCTCCGGCGCCACCGACACCGCGCTCTGCTCAGGCGCCACCAATACTGAGCTCTGCTCCGGCGTCACCGACATTGCCATCTACTCTGGCGCCACTGACACAGAGCTCTGCGCCGGGTCTGATTGTACCTGGGTGTCTTGGACAATTTGTTTGAAATTGCTACGCAGGCATTTGTTAGTGATTCTCTGTTCGCAGGAGTTTTATCCAGAATTTCAATAATTTTTTTGCAGAGCCAGTACACAGAATGGTCTCTGAGACCATTTTTCCTTGTATTATAAGTCATTTTGGCATATTTTCTGTGTATGACTGCTGAACAGAGTTGGTATTGAAAGCTCTGTTGGTAATCTACCTTCATGTTGCATTCTATGCACGTTTTTATCAAACATTTTTGTTGAATATTTCTATTCAGTAGTGATGCTAACAAGGAGGGGGTTGGGAACAGGGTGTTACCTGTAGGTATTGACCTGTAGGTATTGACCGGTAGGTGTTGACCGGTAGGTATTGACCGGTAGGTGTTTAATTACCAGTTTGAGACCGGCCGGGAGGAGGCTGTATGAACGGGCGGTGTTGCTATGTTGTTGTTGTTATAGATTCAGCTACTGGGAACAAAAAGTTCCAAGTAGCACGGGCTATGGTGAGACCGTGCGTCGGTGTTGCTACCTCGTGTCGCATTCTATATATCATAATCATGAAATAAATGGTCGTGTTGTATATTGTTAAAAACATAATTTAATTTAACGAGTTTACTTGTCAAGAAAAAACATATATCCGCAAAGCGTAAATTAATTTATGTTCTGTTATATTCAGACGACAGCCAGTCCGCCGTTTTGAAATCCATTTTTGGGGGTGTTCTGTGGTCAGATTTTGTGGAAACCGTTTAGAAAGCTTCTGAGGCAATATATGTTTTTTGATGCAGCTTTACATAGCCCACAGATACAACAATAGAAGATTAGACATCGTGGAGCATTACATAATTACTAGTGACTGTAATTGGATCAGTTATCTGCAGTACAGTGGTCTGCGTCCTCGACTCGCAACCAATGAACCCAGGTTCAATTCCAGGGCTGGACAGATTGAGCAGTTGCAGTGTTGTTTTCGCCTGATGCCTCTGTTTAGATATCAGTAAAAAAGGTTCCCGCGGGAATTAGGCAACTGTTGCCACCCGAAGGTCAGTGCAGTTGAACTAAACACTAAAGACAAAGTAAAAATGTTAAGCTTTATTCATTATTACTATGATGCATATAAGTTTTGTATGATTTTTTTTTTGTATTAAATAACTAAAGTTACACAAATTAAACACCTAATAATAAACTTTATTTTGTTGTAGAATTTCAACCCCTGTAAGTTTATTTTTTTAATAAATATTACATAAAATACACTTAAAATCTGGATACTAAACACAGACCTGAGCTTACAAGTATGTTGTGTTGATTTAGGTTATCTTGAGATGATTTCGGGGCTTTTAGTGTCCCCGCGGCCCGGTCCTCGACCAGGCCTCCACCCCCAGGAAGCAGCCCGTGACAGCTGACTAACTCCCAGGTACCTATTTACTGCTAGGTAACAGGGGCATTCAGGGTGAAAGAAACTTTGCCCATTTGTTTCTGCCTCGTGCGGGAATCGAACCCGCGCCACAGAATTACGAGTCCTGCGCGCTATCCACCAGGCTACGAGGACCCGGGGCGACGACGATCGTGGGATCGGATGCGCCCGAGCTTACAAGTATGTGGTTGCTCAGTGGTTATAAGTTACAAAATAAAGAACATTTTTCCAATTCCTTCTGAAATCTGAAAAGTATCTACTATTAACTGTTAATTAAATATAATTTTTTTTTATAAATTTAAACATTAACAAACTCTACATTCATCAAGTCAAATAATTCCTCTGAATGAATAATTCAGCTTAAGCGGACGATATAATGTATTTAAAATACCATAAGCAATTTTTTTTGCCTTTTCATTAAAAAATTTGAATTAAGTTATTTGATACATGATATTGTGCTTTATTATCCAGAAAATACGTTTTCATAATGCTCTTAATTTTGTATGGAACTTGATAATTGAACTTTTAATTTAGAAAGTTCAAATAGTGAACAGGTTTATACAAACAGTTCTTAAGTAAATGTATGGATAATATTATTAGGTACTTCATACAAGTCTTTCCAAATAATAAAATCTCCAGGTCCATCAAGGGAAAAATTATATGTGAGGTCCCTCCTCACAATTGTAATATGGACATCTTGGCATATTGTTTATTTTAACAATTCTTACTTAATAGTTTTGTACAGGAAGGTAACCGATATCAGAAAAGCGACTATGATATTATCACACTCCTCTTCAGTGACTAGGGCAGAAAGGGAGACAATTGGGCACAGTACTATTCAGGCTGCTTGCTACTAATGCATAGAAGAAAGAAATTTATTGTCACTACTTAATTCAAACTTATATTTAAGAAAATATTTCCATTCCCTGTAAACCATGCTAGTTTCAGTTACGAAATTATACACTCTGAAAGTTTACCTATATAACACTATATTTAGGGGAAAACTATTTATTCATAACAAAATTGGTTGAAACTCTAAGGGATATTTCTCAAGCCATTTTAGAATAGTGTAACACATAGAAGTATTAGTAATACTGTACCTGTATATGGTCCTAATGGTAAATCAACTGGCATTCTATTACTTTAAAATAATCATGTAGGTCTAGAATCCTTTTGAAACCAAATTTCCATAAGAGATCTTGGTTATTTTGAAGTGGCCCTTTCCACTCATTTGTCTTACAAGTGCTTAAAATGTATTATAACAGGCTGGCCATACAAGGTACTAGTTGGTCTAGTGGCTTCCCACCTCAGCGTGTCTCCAAGACACTGGCCAATATCATAATTACATATATATGTATCACTCATGCCATGTCAATGAAGAACAAAACAACTTTGTCATATATCAACAGGAGAATATTGAAACATGTCATGATGTAATATGACTAGCAGTTCACCCACAGATTTTGTCAATGTATGAGAATTACACAAATTTACTTTATGTATATATAAATAAGCAACTTTTTGAATACTTTGAAAGGTATTATAAGGATCGAGGTAGGTTCTTCTACCAACACAACTACCAGTTTACACCCCACCCGTGGCTCCAGTTGACCAGTATGTATACACGACCAGATTCTCTTGCCCTCTAATCAGGGAAAAGCAACTACATTTTCCTCATGCGTGCATAATCTATATATAAGGCTGTGTTTAGAGTTTATAAATTTATTTTTTGACCCACAGCAGGATGCCCAGAAGAACCTATATACCCAACCCAACTTCAGTTGGGAACCAATTACAGGTGTCCAACCAAATTTCAGTTGGGTATGTATAATTGGTACCGAACGAACTAAAACTTGAAACCTTCCCTGGAGCGCCATTAAGGTACTTTGGTAACAATCCACCCCTCCATCCATGGTATATTGTGGATTGCAACTTATACTGAAGATGAATCACTGGCCTTGTAATGAGACGGTAAGTGAGAAATTACCTGTCACCAACAACTGAAGCTCACATGAACACGCCTTCCTGTTCACCCACAATGAGACCACAGAAGACTGGAACGCCCGACCAACCACACAACCGTTGCCACACTCACAAGAACAAGCCAGCCTTCCCGACCACCAGTCGGACCAAGTCCGTCCACATGAACTACCCTCACACCCACATGCCTGCTACCCTTATTCATAACAAAGGCCATCCTGCCCGACCACACATACACACCAGCCCCCCTACCCCTTGCCCCCCCCCCCCCACACACACACAGTGGTAGACGGTTAGAACAAGTCAAGAGAGAAAGTTTTGGAAGCTAAAACCATCAGTAGTTTCAAAGTTATACGAGAAAGAGTACTTGAAATATGAGAAACTACGAGCGTAGCTCTCGCCCTGTAACTACACTTAGGTAAGTACACACATCAGCCCGCCAACACTCTAAATATAATTGTTTTATTGTACTTACATTTCTATATTGGACTAAATTATAGACTGTACGTATATATTCGGACTTTTTCTTCGTGACTTCATTCGTGACACAGCTTGAGAACACAGCACAAGTACTGTCGACATATATCACCTATCACACATGAAATTCTTGATAAATAAATACAGGATCTGTTAAGAGTGTATTCCCCAATTCTAAGGTAAACAAAACTTAACAACACTTTGTTGTAGGGATTTTTGTAATTGTGGACACAAGACTTTAAGCTTTGTGTACTACACACCCGTGTCGAGCAGACGGTATACTGGTTATCCTTCATATGCTTTCATCTCAACTTTTCATCAACATTTAAGAAAAAAACCTATTAATTGGTAGGCATTTGGAGTGATTAGCCAGCTGTGTGAGGTGCACCACCAGCTGTATGAGGTGCACCACCAGCTGTATGAAGTGCACCACCAGGTGTGTGACGTGCATCTCCAGCTGTATGAAATGCACCACCAGGTGTATGAGGTGCACCTCCAGCTGTATGAAGTGCACCACCAGCTGTATGAGGTGTACCACCAGCTGTATGAGGTGCACCACCAGGTGTATGAGGTGCACCTCCAGCTGTATGAAGTGCACCACCAGCTGTATGAGGTGTACCACCAGCTGTATGAGGTGCACCTCCAGCTGTGTGACGTGCACCTCCAGCTGTATGAGGTGCACCTCCAGCTGTATGAGGTGCACCACCAGCTGTATGAGGTGCACCAGCAGCTGTATGAGGTGCACCACCAGCTGTATGAGGTGCACCACCAGCTGTATGAGGTGCACCACCAGCTGAAGCAGCTTTTCTCTCCAGGTTTACTTGGTCTGTGCGAACGCCGGGTTCTGGAAGGTGGTCTTCGCGCTCTTGTATAGGGGATTTTCTGCCTGTAAACAAATGGAAAAGATTATCATCAATTGCCAATATCTCCACTTGACTACAGTGCCTCTTTGCCACCTCTTCCTCTCTGAGCTGTCAAGTATGAAAAACTGCACACTTGATTACGCTACGGTAATGTTACTTGTTTCTGGTATTTTGTGACCAAAAGCCTATTTCAAGAAATCAATGCAAAATAAAAATTCTATATTTTGAGTTCTATACTGAATAGTCTGTAATCTCAATAATTATAATAAAGTTCTTGCGAAAGGGCCAGCACACTTATCTAAAATTGTGTGATCAAAATGAAATTGACAATACCTAAAGCTATTGTCAAATTATATTATTTTTTCTTTTGTAAAGACTAGAGAGCAACAACATACCGCTTCCCACTGGGCATTTTCCCTCTCCTTCTCAAACTTGGCGTACTCCCTGCGGTCATGGAGGGTGGTCAGGAGCTTCCATATCAGCAGAGTCAAAAACCCAATTGCCACAATGGCCGCAACCAGGCCGAAGACGATACCTGCAACAGTTGGACATGACACCACATATATTAAGTCTTGGTGAGCGGTAAACGTGCTGATAAATAACTACAAATCACGCAAAATTTTGATCCGCGGTATTCTTTTGGAAAAAATTGCTTATAATATGAAAATGAAAGCAAACTGATAAAACTCAAATTGAATAAAAGATAACGCGGGAAACATATAAGTGTTACCAACACAACGTTATTGCTATAACATAGAGACCAAATCCGACAACGACAGTTAATGTGCGTTGCTAGGCATTTATTTGATGAGGCCATGACCTTTAAGAAGTCTTCAAAATTAAATAGAATGTTCAGTTTCCCCCCCCCCCCCAAGAGCCTGTGGTTACCATACTGCATGTCATATACGAAACATCTGGAGACATCTCGTGCACGAATTGACAAAGGCGCAACTGCCCAGGCAATATGAACATGCGGACAAACCCACATTTACACGTGGTTCACCTTACTTGAGTAGAGGAAACGGAGACGTAGAGCGTCAGCAACACCTGAGACAGGAGTGCCAATGGGCACACCTGTCCAGGTGAGGGTGTGGTGATTCGTCTCAAGGGGTGAGAGGTGCTCCGATTGCGGACGTTCCACGTCTCCCAGGACGTTCCACGTCTCCGTGTGATGACAAAGTAGGGGGGGGGGTGAGGTTAGGCTGAGTGTGTGTAGCAGGAGTGTAGCATGTGTGCAGGTGTGTATGTGTGTGACACACTGACACCTGCACAATGTGTCAACATACAATTGGCACATTGTGTGCTGTGATCTATTGTCTATGTATGTTGTGAGCTGTGTTTTGTGTGTTGTGAGTTGTGATACATTGTCTAAGTTGTGTGTTGTGAGTTTTTAATGTGTGTTGTGATACACTGCCTATGAGAGAGAGAGAGAGAGAGTGAGAGAGAGAGTGAGAGTGAGAGTGAGAGTGAGTGAGAGTGTGAGTGAGTGAGTGTGAGTGAGTGAGTGAGTGAGTGAGTGAGTGAGTGAGTGAGTGAGTGAGTGAGTGAGTGAGTGAGTGTGAGTGTGGGGTGTGTGTGTGGTGTGTGTGTGTGGGGGGGGGGGTGTTGCCGGGTATACTGCACTCGGTCTCCTAGGTCAGGTGATGCCGTGTACCACCAGCATGATTAACTTTACACCTGCTCATGCTTAACATGTTCTCTAAGCATACACACCTGTACAATTCTACGCTCCCAATGCATACACCTTCAACACTCTCCCATACTTACACTTTAACATACACACCTGCACACATGCTACACATACTCAGCCTAACCTTACACCTCCCTTTCATCACAAGGAAACGTAGAACGTCCTGGGAGACGTGGAACGTCCGCGAGCGCCACCTCTAACCCCTTGAGACGGATCACCACACCCTCACCCTAGCCATAAAAAAGCTCAGGTACTCACCTAGTTGTGCTTGCGGGGGTTGAACTTTGGCTCTTTGGTCCCGCCTCTCAACTGTCAATCAACTGGTGTACAGGTTCCTGAGCCTACTGAGCTCTATCATATCTACATTTGAAACTGTGTATGGAGTCACCCTCCACTACATCACTGCCTAATGCATTCCATCTGTTAACTACTCTGACACTGAAAAAGTTCTTTCTAACGTTCCTGTGGCTCATGTGGGTACTCAGTTTCCACCTGTGTCCCCTTGTTCGCGTACCACCCATGTTGAATAGTTTATCTTTGTCTACCCTGCCAATTCCCCTGAGGATTTTGTAGGTAGTGATCATGTCTCTCCTCACTCTTCTGTCTTCCAGGCGTCGTGGACGCTCTACATCTCCGTTTCCTCTACTTACTTGCTTATTAATACTTAAGAACATTACATTCCAGGGAAATTAAATGACACAACTGACCCAGTACTGGAGGGGGTTGTGGACACTGCCTCTCTTTCTGCACGAAGACCTGGTACTGCTGAGGGTTCGTCTCCGAGGATTCTATGTAGCGGTATGTGAAGTTAAAGAGGCAGCCTTCCTCGTCCTCAAAGGTACACAGACGGGCACCCGTGGCCACCTGACCTGTTCCGTCATGAAAACAAAAGAGGAAGTCAAGAAAGAGTACAAGTTAGTTACTTTTTGTTTGATCTGAATTAAAAAAAAAAAACACGCCATAGAAAGATTCATGGGATTTGAGTCAAGAAAAATCATAGAAGCCGTAACTTGTATTAGCCTAAAGAAATACATTGTAACTAAGTGACAGGATATGAACCCGTAACGATCAGTTATTTGTGAGGTTTTAGGCAACCAATAAATTTCCTAAAATTTGTATTAACAAAACATGATACAATATCAGTTATGTGGAACTTGAGCTAGGGAGAACAACAGAACATCTGAGCAATAGGATCCAAACCTGTAAGAATCCGAATCCCAAAATACCATTCGTTACGTTCCATAGTTACATATAAAAGTTTCTAAATTTCGTTTAAGTCAGAATGTATAGTGTTTTATTGTTTTGTGAGTTATTAGTGTCCTGCAAACACTTGTAAAATGTTTGTTGACTGAAAAGCCTATTTATCATAAAATGAATTAAAGATAAAGCACATGGAATTATTCACAACATTTAAGAAAATATATAATAAATACGAATTCTGATTTTTATAGTAAAAAAAACTGGGGCACTAAGATACAAGACAAAAGTTTCAATACCAACAGCTTGAGAAATAACATTATCCAAGCGTTGAAAAGTGACGTCATTTTGTAAGCCAAATAAAAACAACTTCAGGTATCTATTATATATATATTAAACTCAACAATATTAATACTTACCGTCTAATGTATCAATTTTAACAGACTCGATGGTGCAGTTAGGACAGTTATTTATTTATGTGTGTCAATATATACAAGAAGGTACATTGGGTTTGTGAGGATACATAGCATAGTGTTAACATTCTTGTAAAGCCACTAGTACGCGCAGCGTTTCGGGCAGGTCCTTAATCTAACAGATAATTTTAGGTAGATAAATTCTAGCAAAATTTATAAAATGATAACAGGTACATTGCAAGAAAAAAATGAAATGAGAGAGATTAGTAGGAATATTAAAGCACATCTAACAGATAATTTTAGGTAGATAAATTCTAGCAAAATTTATAAATTTGATTGCATTGCATTGATTGATTGCATTGACAGCTTGATTGGCAATTTAGCAAAGATTAATAGGCATAATACAGCATATAGACAGCACATATAAGACAGCAATGATCACAATGGTAAAGTTGTTTGGATTAGGTACATAAAGATTGGGAGATTGAGTAGCACTAGATACAGTGCAATTTTACAGCACAAGGTAGGAAACTATGAAGATGAAATTTGGTACTTTTTGTTTTGTTTTTGAATAAGGCAAAAGTTGGACAGCTTTTCAAATCATTAGGGAGGGAGTTCCATAGACCAGGTCCCTTTATTTGCATAGAGTGTTTACAAAGATTAAGTTTGACTCTGGGGATATCAAAGAGATATTGTTTCTGGTGTGGTGATCCTATTACATCTGTCCAGGGAGAGTTTCAGAGCATGGTTTGCATTTAAGAACAGGGTTTTGTAAAAGTAACTGACACAAGAGAATGTGTAGAGTGAGTTTATGTTTAGCATGTTTAGGGATTTAAACAAGGGAGCTGAGTGTTGTCTGAAAGCAGTTTATTATTCTGATAGCAGATTTGCAGATCACCAGGTAACATAACAGACCAATGGAGTGTGCCAGGAATAGGACAGGCATACGTGAATGAGTTTGGGTAGATATAAATAGGAGCAGCCTCGTATGGGCCAACAGGAGGAGCAGGCTCCCCTTATTGTTGTGTTGGTAAGACTCACCGGACAATCCTCACAGTACTGGCCAGTGTAAGTGACGCCGTGCTGCTGGGAACACTTACACTTGCCACAGTCACACTTGCCGTGCCCAGAACACGTCTCCTGTGAACCTGATCAACGACAAATGTATCAAAACACACGCACACATATGCAGGCGTTGAGTCACAATAACGTGGCTGAAGAATGTTGACCAGATCACACACTATAAGGTGAAGGGACGACGACGTTTCGGTCCGTCCTGGACAATCGACTTGAGAATGGTCCAGGACGGACCGAAACGTCGTCGTCCCTTCACCTTCTAGTGTGTGTGGTCTGGTCAACACATACATATATTACAGATGAAATGTACACATGCTAAACATTTTGTTTTCACCTTGTTAATGTTGCTATTCTGAGCCAGTGCATTGATTACATTTTTATGACCATAATGGTGGATATTTTTATTTACTGGAGGGTAGACGAGAATAGGATAGATAAATATAGACAAAAGTAGATCTGACTCATATCATCAGGCACACACCTCGCCTTCACATAGCTAATCTAAATTTACATTTATTTCTTTACTTAGTAATAATGTCTTATACAAATGCCGGCGATAAGTTTACAATCAGGCACAATAAAGACTGGCAGAAAGTTAAGTTTTTTTTGTTGTTAAAAGATCCGCTACTTGGAACAAGCAGTTCCAAGTAGCACGGGCTATGGTGAGCCCGTAGTTAAGTGTTGTTTACTAGTTTGACTGACCTGAGTTTTACACACCCTCTGACCTGACTATTTTGTGTTTTCGCAGACCTGAATGTTTAACACGTTGACTAACTCCAGTTATTTGAACATTTGACTGTTGGAACTTTACTTTGACAAACTGCCCAGCGTGAGTCACGCCTCAGTTTCTCTCACTAACTGACGTTCCAGTTGCTCAGCTGACTGCTCAATCCTTTGTAGTTTAAGATTAACATAAGTTTTACCAGTTTATTTGACGAATTTAAAGTTTAACAGCCTGTTTTACAAGCTTTACCAGATTCATTTAGAAATATGTCAGAGTGTGGAGTGTGTGGCCGGGATGAACATTGTATATGCTCGTTGATTTGACAGTTTCAAACGCTGACTGACCTGAGATCTAAAGGTTCTGTAAACAGACTGACTTGCTGATATGAAAGTTGGCCCGAGAGCTTAACCAACAGTTGAGTTGATCAACAAATGAAGCCGAAGACTGTTGGGAAGGCGAGTGGAGCCTTACCTTGGGGCCTGCAGGCCGAGTCATCCCTGCACTGGCAGAGGTCGCCAGTGTAGCCTTGTTCACAGCGGCACTTGTTGCAGTCACAGGTCCCGTGGCCTGAACACTCGCTCCCCACCCCGGACTGACACTTGCGGCTGTTACACTCACAGTACGTCCCGTGCACCACCTGCCATAACAACTCTCATTAACATTGCCTCCTATCACTTCACAATTGACGTTGTTGTTGTGTTTTTTAGACTCAGCTACTCGTTACACACAGTTCCAAGTAGCACGGGCTATGGTGAGCCCGTAGTGGACTTACCTGGCACAGGAGCGGCAAGTAGCACAGGCTATGGTGAGCCCGTAGTGGACTTACCTGGCACAGGAGCGGGGCTGTAACTTGTGATAATTGATCATAACAAATGTATTAATAGATGGAACTTTGTGGTGTGGTGGATATCGCTCTCACAATTTACTCCTATACATTGCCTGTATAATATATTAATATACAACAAAAAATATATATCAAAGTTTGGTAACAAAGTAATTAAACACAAAATATTGTTCGCAAAGAAATGTTGAAACAATTTCAAAAGGGTTCAAAAGTTACACAAAGAAACTATAATTTACAATTGGCCAATAAACTGTAAAAACAATAAATGCTGAGCAAGAAATAAGTAAGAGATGCAAGACTTGGATGATAACTGCTCCAAAGAAATAGTCACAATGTTAACAGAATTACTACAAAATCTTACGTTAACACTGACTGAAATAATACGGGATCATTACTGCATAAAAAAGTACCTAAATATATTTGTTATTTCAGTGAGGAGGCAGGGAGTAGAGTGGTACTCACGGGTTTATCGTTGCAGACACACATCCCACAGCTGCAGTAGCCTAGTCCCGAGCACACCTTCTCCCCCTCCTTCGCCTGGCACAGCTGCGTGTCACTCTCACTGGGGACAACGTGGGTTAGTGCCACCCTCAGGCTCACCGTGCTCTCAGTCTTACACACAGGCACAGAGAGAGAGAGAGAGAGAGAGAGAGAGAGAGAGAGAGAGAGAGAGAGAGAGAGAGAGAGAGAGAGAGAGAGAGAGAGAGAGACAGAGAGAGAGAGGCACACACAGAGAGAGACAGAGATACAGAGAGAATGAGTGAGAGAGTATTCTATTATGTTATTAACTAAGATATTAATCATCATAAAATCTTGCAAAACATCCTGCAATAATATAAATGTATTACTGCGGTTAAGTATAAGTTACACTCACAAAATACCTCATAAGTATCATCATTTTATGTGTGAGATACCACACAGCATAATTTTAACATACCCAGACAACTACTAAGTATATACAATAATTAAGTATACCCTGACATAGTGAATAATAATTATTATTATAAAAGTCAAATTTTAAATCTGGCTTGAGAGATGGGTGTAGAGTAAGTGCCTTAATAATTGTTCATTTCCTCGTCCCCAATATTTTCATTAATAATTTTGTAACTAGCGTCAAAAATTGTTATTTGCTTAGGTAAACGAACTAGAGGGTACAGTTCCTGAACCGATTATGTGCCTCTGTAATCCTTTACACCACCGCCCACGGGATGGGTATGGGGTGTATATAAAGAAAGAAATTGAAATTCTGGTGTCTTAAACTTAATCTTACAAGTATATATATTGTCTTGGCAAAATTTATATGTTATCCGTTCTTTTTATATAACTATACACACAACATTTTTTATAATAATAATTACCGTTGTCAGGGGACAAGAAGCCTGTTAGACTTATCTAGAGAAGTGGAAACTGGGCCTACGAAGGACCGTTTTGCTTTTTCCAACGGTCCTTCGTAGGCCCGGTTTCCACTACTATCCAGGTCCCCCTTAGGCCAACTACCGACCCTTTCACTACGGGCTCACCATAGCCCGTGCTGCTTGGAACATTTTGTTCCGAGTAGCGAATTTTAAACAACAACATACCGACCCTTCCCCCTCGAAGGATGTAACCCACAACAGTTGCCTAACTCTAAGGAGTCCCTGAGCCCATTATGTGCCTTTGTAACCCTTTCCACTACCGCCCACAAGATGGGTATGGGGTGCATAATAAATGAACTAAACTAACTAACTAACTAGGCTGCTAGGCGAAAAGACGCATCAGGTGAAAGGAAACGTGTCTAACAATTTTTCTCCTGTCCGGGGATGGAACCCGGGTCCCTGGGTTGTGAGCCGGGGACAACTGGGCATATCCCAGCATGAATATTGTTATAGGCGTTACTATACGGCAGAGAGATGTGTACACGAGCGAGGGGGGGGGGGGTGCCAAGTTTATCTGTGTATATACATTTGTCTACTTTATTCCTGGACAATATTAGCACTAATGTACTGACCAACACAGTACTTGGTCAATAGGCTGTAAGAACCCTAGAGAAGGTGATAGGCCTTATACCCACCACCTCACTATAGGTGCTGGACCACCTCACTATAGCCAAGGTATAGTGAGGTGACCACTATAGCTTGGCTATAGTGACACAGTATTGACCTGGCCAAGTTCTAAGCACTGTATATCCCAGTGTGAGCAGTCCCGCTGGGATATACATAACCGGTAGTGACCGGGATATAAAGTCACCACCGTTTCATCACTATTATACAACAGGTGAGAAGAAAAGGATGACGATGACGATTAAACCATCCAAAAGGTGGCACGGGCATGAATAGCCCGTAAGTGGTGGCCCTTTTGAGCCATTACCAGTATCAAGAGCTGATAATGGAGATCTGTGGAGGTGCAACTGCACCCTGCGTGACGGGAGATGTCTTCCGGACCAAGTGTGAAGAAAAGGAGCCACACACACACATTTATAGGCTATTCATGCCCGTGCCACCGCTTGGGGTGGCTTAATCTTCATCAACCAATCGGAGCCACACACACCTGTTATCAGAGTTCTCGTTGCTACACTGGCAGACCTCGCCTCTGAAGCCCTGGTGGCAGGCGCACACACCACACACCAGGTCGCCAGCACCCTTGCACGCCAAAGAGTCCTCCTCCACAAACTCCTACACAAACCAACAAGCAGACGATGAGTCACAATAACGTAGCTGAAGTATGTTGAGCAGACCACACACTAGAAGGTGAAGGAACGACGACGTTTCGGTCCGTCCTGGACCATTCTCAAATCGATTGAGTCAATCGACTCAAGACATTCTCAAGTCCTGGACCATTCTCAAGTTGATTGAGTCAATCGATTCAAGACATTCTCAAGTCGATCGACTTGAGAATGGTCCAGGACGGACCGAAACGTCGTCGTCCCTTCACCTTCTAGTGTGTGGTCTGGTCAACAAACCAACAACAACCACAGTTTCAATGTAATAAATATAAACAAATATTTGAAGACAAATATGAATGGGATATGTTTAAGGGTAAATGTTAATTGTACACTTGGAAAACTTCGCTTCAGAAATTCAAAACAGTTTTTAGTTGGAAGAAAATGTTCCATGCAACTTAAATCTTAATACATATTGAAAGTTAAGAAATTTTAAATTGTAAGAAATAAAAGTGGCTGAATGATTTAGGGAAGATCTAATAAATAAAAATGTTTGAGATTACACACAGCTGAAGAACTCAATTTTCATGTATCTAATAATAAGAACGTGACTTTTAATTTTAAATTTTGTTTACATATTTACACATACAAGAAATATTACCCAAGCTCTTCTGAGATAATTACTTTTCTAAGAATTGAATATGTAATTATCATTCATGGACATGCTCTCTCAGTGAGTTAGTGAGTGTGAGTGTGAGTGTGAGTGTCTCTCTCTTCCCCACCCCCCATCCCTGTAGGCCTGCCACGGAAGGAAGGAAGACAGTACCGGGTCGGCACAGTTGCAGGAGCACTCAAACTCAATCTCAAGGATAAGGTTGTCTTGAAGAGTCTTCACCTCCACGATGGTGGAGTTGGCGTCCGTGGGGCACTCACTCGCCTGTAATATACACATAACATTAAGCTCTCAACTCTCATATACAGTATTACATTTCCCACTCATCAAGCCATTTTTCAAAAAAAAATACTCATGGCGTTTTGATAACCATAAATACAGTAGTGCTTTAAATTATCTTGTACTGTTATTCTTTAAAAATACGTTGAATGTGATTTCATCTAAATTTTGTACAAACATATATTACATGATTACATTGTTTCTTATTGAGAAAGGCTGTGCCTACCGTGATTTCCAGGAGAAAGTCGATAGTGTCGTTTTCCTTGATGTCGCCGCACTCCTTGGTGAGAACGGGAGCGCCGCCCCCCTTGCAGCTGGAGAAGTAACGCACGCTGACGGCAGAGTTGGTGCTGTTGTCCGTCAGCCGCATCGTCGACGAGATTTTCTGCGGGAGATCGGAGAGTGGGAAAGGTAATGTTGGTATACAATGAACACGTGTCCATTGAACAAGGGGAACACACTCTTAACACCACTACAGACAACATTAATCAAGTGGGAGGACACTGTTAATACTAAAGAACATTGACTTGGGGGTCGGGGGGGGGGGGGGGACACTGACCGAGGGAGAACTCAATAATAATAATACTATTTGTTTTCGTTCTGTTGGTAATTATTTGTATTTGTAGTAGTGAGTAAATCTTTTACCAACCCGTCCTCAGACCAAGTCCATTCTATCCAGCGGACGACCCCAAAGACGCATTCATCAATTTTAACAGGCTGTTTATTCAAAATAGGATTTTTTTCAAATATAAATTAATATTATTATATACAGTATTAGCATATTGTGCAATGAAAAACTGTTTTTACACATGACTCACAACTCATGACGTTCGAACACATCTCGAACAAGTGCTTTGCTGACGACTTTTGTTTGAACCACAACGCTGTAAACAGCCCGTCCTCCAAAGACCCCAAAAGTGATTCCAACCACCCACCAAACCCCAGGTGTTTATAAATGAAAAACGGTTTACACACGACTCACAACTGATTTCGTTCTAACACTTCCGGAAAAAGTGCTTCATTGACGAATTTTGTTCGAACCACAACGCTGTAAATGCTTCACCCACATACTACAAATACAAATAATCGCCAACAGAACCTATACACCTAGCCTAACCAATGCCTAAATATGCACAGTATGCCAATATATAACAATATTAATTTATATTTGAGAAAATTATTATTTTGAATAAGCAGCATGCTAAAATTGATGAATGCGTCTTTGGGGTCGACCGCTGGATGGAATGGACTTGGTTTATGTATATGATTATATTAACATATATAAAGAAATATGGATCACAGCTACACAAATTCCCGAACCGTGGGTAGCTGTAATCCATATTTCTTCACTGAAAGCTCAGACCTCACTTTCCTAGATCTTACGCCAGCCTCTGACATTACTCACTGACACAGCATTCTGAGTCAACTTGCTAAAATGAATGTTGGAGGATGGCTTCTATGATAGATAAAAGGCTATCTACATAACAGGAAGTCATCTGTAATGTTCCAAGGGCATAGCAGTGTATAGGGGGGGGGAGGTAGAAATAGCCTAAGCTATTCTATCCCTTTGAGATGTATTTCTTTTTTGTCTCAATAAACATACTTGAACTTGAGCAGTGTATCGAGAGTTTTTGAACTAGGCACTCCATAGGGAGGTGTCCTCAGACCTACTTTCTTTAATAGGATAAAGCCCTAAGGGGGGTTCAGTTACTGAAACCATTATTGGTTTCCGTAAGCCTTTCAACCACGGCCCACGGGATGGGTATGGGGTGCATAGTAAATGACCACACTGACACAGTTACAAACACCTGTGGAGAAACTCTTACATTATATTGTTCTCGGACGAGTTCGACCACGTTGCGCGAGTCAGCTTCGAGCATGCCGTAGGAGGAGGTCTCTATCATGCCGGAGAGCTCCTTGTATAACAGCTCGTGGGCCGACACCGCGAAGATCACGTTGATGTTCTTCTCTTTCGCTATCTTATTAATCTGTCAGAAATTAAATACTTTAATTCAAGGTACGGTAATTATAGAGAGAGCACGCTAAGTTAGCATGACTATACACAATAGCACTTGGAAGGGATACGAGGATAGGGAGCTGGGATACGAGGACAAGGAGCTGGGATACGAGGACAAGGAGCTGGGATACGAGGACAAGGAGCTGAGATACGATGACAAGGAGCTGGGATACAAGGACAAGCAGCTGGATACGATGACAAGGAGCTGGGGATACGAGTACAAGTAGCTGGGATACGAGGACAAGGAGCTAGTATACGAGGACAAGGAGTTGAGATACAAGGGCAGAGCTGGGATACAAGAACAAGGAGCTGGGATAAGAAGCTGGGATATGAGGACAAGGAGCTGGGATACAAGGACATTAAGGAGCTGGGATACGAGGACAAAAATCTAGGATACGAGGACAAGGAGCTGGGATATGAGGACAGAGCGACTGAGGCAAAGAATTTGGTGCCTAACCACTTGGACCATCGGGGATCGAACGCCAACCTGCAAGACGCGAGGCCATCACTGTACGAACCAGTCCAAGTGGTTAAGAACACCAATTTGAGTGATGTTAATATTGGTAATGACTGGTACAGTTTAAATAATTTTTGTTTAAATAACAAATAATTAAATGTTATGTTGTTTAATCACATTATATTTACTCTTTGTGTCCTGACTGTTACACATAGTGCTATAGAATTAGGTTATACATTTGCCTTACTTCTAGCCAATAAGCTATTAGATTTCTGCAGATTTTGATACCTTGTTACTAGGCTATAAGCATACTTTTATTTTACTACGGGTGTACATTTTAAGTTGATTTGGTGTACTTAGAGTTAGCCACGGCTATGTTATACATTTGTTAAGTCTTACTTATAGCCGCCTTATTTACATGTTCTGCAGAAATGATTTTACTTGTACTTCTACTACGTAATAAATAAGCCCCCCATACTGTTGCTGTCTTTTTTCCCCTGATCAGAAAATACAGTGTAACGAGTACTCGTTCACTTGACTACAATATACAGTGTTACGAGTACTCACTCACCTGGGCACAATATACAGTATTATGGGTACTCACTCACCTGGGCACAATGTACAGTGTTATGGGTACTCACTCACCTGGGCACAATATACAGTATTATGGGTACTCACTCACCTGGGCACAATATACAGTATTACGAGTACTCACTCACCTGGGCACAATATACAGTGTTACGAGTACTCACTCACCTGGGCACAATATACAGTGTTACGAGTACTCACTCACCTGGGCACAATATACAGTGTTACGAGTACTCACTCACCTGGGCACAATATACAGTATTATGGGTACTCACTCACCTGGGCACAATATACAGTGTTACGAGTACCCACTCACCTGGGCACAATATACAGTGTTACGAGTACTCACTCACCTGGGCACAATATACAGTGTTACGAGTACTCACTCACCTGGGCACAATATACAGTATTATGGGTACTCACTCACCTGGGCACAATATACAGTGTTACGAGTACTCACTCACCTGGGCACAATATACAGTATTATGGGTACTCACTCACCTGGGCACAATATACAGTATTATGGGTACTCACTCACCTGGGCACAATATACAGTGTTACGAGTACTCACTCACCTGGGCACAATATACAGTATTATGGGTACTCACTCACCTGGGCACAATATACAGTGTTATGGGTACTCACTCACCTGGGCACAATATACAGTATTATGGGTACTCACTCACCTGGGCACAATATACAGTGTTACGAGTACTCACTCACCTGGGCACAATATACAGTATTATGGGTACTCACTCACCTGGGCACAATATACAGTATTATGGGTACTCACTCACCTGGGCACAATATACAGTGTTATGGGTACTCACTCACCTGGGCAATAGATGGATAGTCATATATGTTAAAATCTGAATACTCATGGAGGTGGTTCAGGTGGCATCTTTCGTCATTGGGAGCGACAATGCCCGCCAGCTGCACCGTTGTCGTATATTCAAATAGAATCAATAAAAAACTAAATTAATACATGGAGCCTACGTGCATGGATGCCTTGGTAAGCAAAGGCACACCCTTAGACATTATTAATCTTGCAGTAAAAATAAAATAAATATATAAATAAATTACAATTAATTTTACCGAAGGCAAAATCAAGTGGTGATTAAACCAACTTATAATTGAACAAATCCACAAGGGCCGTGATGAGGGTTCGAACCTACGTCTTAGAAGATACTTTCGGACGTAGGTTCGAACCCTCATCACGGCCCTTGTGGATTTATTAATTTGATGAATCACGCTATTGTGATTTCTGTGTGCAACTTATAATTATTTAATCAATTTGTGTTTCCCATTAAATTTTTAATTAAATGAACTATGAACAGTAATTTAAACTTATGGCAAAAATGCTGTGGGTAATTAGTGGGACAATATAATATAGAATTTATGTGCCTACTAATTAATCACTGTAACATATTTCTGTGTTTTCTAAATATAAATTATTATTATAACTAACAGTGCACGAGAATTATACTGGCAGGGTATTTAAAGTATCCACTGAAGAAACCTCAGAACATTTCTTTCTCACCTTGAGACTCCACGACACCCACACATGTCTAGACGTCATCCTAATGAACCACAGTATGACCACACACTTCCTAAGACACTCCCCAAACCTTCTATAATAATTCCAGAGTGAACTAGCTGCCTCCCTTATCCAACCCGCTCTTCAACGAGGCTACCATCCCGGCCCTCAACGAGGCTACCATCCTGGCCCTCAATGAGGCTACCATCCTGGCCATCAACGAGGCTACCATCCCGGCCCTCAATGAGGCTACCATCCCGGCCCTCAACGAGGCTACCATCCTGGCCCTCAATGAGGTTACCATCCCGGCCCTCAACGAGGCTACCATCCCGGCCCTCAATGAGGCTACCATCCCGGCCCTCAATGAGGCTACCATCCTGGCCCTCAACGAGGCTACCATCCCGGCCCTCAAGAAGATTACCATCAGTCCCTAAACAAGGCTACCAACCCAGCCTTAAGACTACCAACCCGGCCATCTCCTGCATGGTGGAACTTGGCGTCAGTGGAGAAGATGACGATGCGACGCGCCTGCTCCCTCCACCCAATCTGCTCCGTACACACCATCACTTGCATTAGGGCATCGAACCCGCCTTCGGGAGAATCCATGTTGCCCGAGATCGGTGCTGCCTCTACCTTTATCTGCAGGTGACCAACAGCAATAAGAGAAGAACTTTTAGGAGTAATACACATTTATTGAGTGTGGGAGGCCTCTCATTCAGACCTCTGCCGATATTTAACATCAACTTTTACATTTTGTTTGCACACTTTGCAATTAATTATAATGATAACTAGTAACAAACGTCCTGTATTGCATCTTCTATGAATTTCAATATTTTTTGGCATTGTTACATCTTATGTCCTTTCAGGATAGAGGAGCGTGAGATGTAGGCCGTGTACCATGCTGCAGATGTGGCGCCACTACACACAGGCAGCTTATTGAGAGTAAGACAGCAAAAGGGACAATATATTGTTTAACACTTCAGGTATCTGGGCTGCCAGGAAACAGTTGAATAATATGGAAAGCAGTTAATGAGGAGCCAGCCATCCTTAAAGCAAGCCATACCAACCTCGCAAACAGAACAGGAGCTGTTCTGTTTGCGAGAACACTTAGATCACATCATCTAACTGATGATGCAAACTAGGTGATACAATTCAGAACACCGGTACCTGACGTTGCCAGCATCATGCTGCGGGCAGAGATCACAACACTACATTCAACCCGTTCTCGCAAATTTAATAAGTCAATATTGACTTATTAGTTGCGTGCATAGGTGACATACTAAACATAATAGTTTCCCTTGAAAAGCTTCATAGAAAACACCGACCTTACCTAACCTACTTAGTATGTTAAAATAAGCATCTTATAGCTTCGTAATTACAATTGTTACTTAACCTATTATAGGTATAGGTTAGGTAATAATTGTAATTACGAAGCAATAAGATGCTTATCTTAACATACTAAGTAGGTTAGGTATGGTCGGTGTTTTCTATGAAGCTTTTCAAGGGAAACTATTATGTTAAGTATGTCACCTATGCACATATTTAATAAGTCAATATTGACTTACTAAATTTGCGAGAACGGGTTGCTACATTACAATTTAATAACTGCGGGTAGGCGTCTCCACTACCCGTGATCGCAGGCAAAGCAAGCTGCATGACAAGTGGCGGCACCACGCAAGCCTCTCCTCACCCAAGTTCTAGATTAATTTGAGTTTGTGAATATTCAGTAACTAGTGTAAGCGCAGTGTTCGTATCTTGCATGATACTGATGCTAAACAAAGTTTAATATGCAAGATTTTCTCACAGAAAATGGTGGAGGGTGCATGGAAAACTCAACACATGGCATAAACTCCAGTATAGATGTGTTAGGTAAATGTGAATGCAAACTGCGTGTGTGTGGCGAAGCAACACTAAGACTGTGAGAGAGCCCTTCCCATCCCTGACCTCCCGGTGATTCATGCCAACACCTTCCCATGGATAACGTACAGTCGAAGTTAATCGTGTGCGATTACCCACAGAGGGATCGCACACAATTAATTTGGCCTGTTATCCATTTATTACTAGATTACCCACAGAGGGATGTTTCATATTTCCTTGCGGGCTATTCCTGCCCGTGCCACCTCTTGGGTGTCTCAATCAATCAGTCACAGAGGGATAGGGAAGGAAGAGAAGCAAGCCAGAGCAGACAACACAAGTTTGGCTGCTGTACTTGATCGTGTGTGCAGCTCATGTAATCACTACGGCTCAACACAAGAAAAGAAAATATAATTGAAGAGTAAGACTTGTGTTGTTCGACAAACTTTTGTGTAAGTCAAAACAGACACTATAACAAGAGCCACAAACAGCTCACCGTAAACTGTTTGGGGTCACCGTTGAGAGGCAGGTCATTTCTGAAGGAGTAAGGAGGGGCACAACCCGCACATGGTGCTTCCAGTCTGAAAAAATAACATCACAGATATTAAAATATACTCATGGTATACAAATTATACAACGAAGTAAAAGTGAAACAAGAAACTAACTTTCGTGTTAAGCAACACATCCGAAAATTCACAAACAACTCTTTCCTCCATTTTGTAAGCCGTGGAAAAGAAGTTCGTGTAAAACAGTGTGATAGTGGGTCCAGATGTTGTGCTGGTTGATTCTTCATGGGTTGAATGGAGTGTCACCTTTCCTTTATTGACGTTTACCTTAAAGACGTCATTAAAAGAAAGGTGACACGCCATGCAACCCATGAAGAAGCAACCACCACATCACCCGTACCTCCTATCACACTGTTTTACAGCAACTTTTTTTTCAAGGCTTACAGAATGGAGGAAAGAGTACTGAAAGATATTATTGATAGGAACGTTATCCCCCACAGACACCAATCACAAGATACAATTAGCAATACATTACAAAAACAAGAAGACCGCCAACTTACTTATGAAGACACCAAACAGAACGCCTTAAGAGAGATCAACGTCGTTTATGCCTTCACATGCCCACTTATAGAGACTTTCAGCCCCAAAGATCTCAGTGTATATAGGCAAGACCACAACGTCTCTCTCTCTAGGCGATTAACAATGCACAAGCAACAGAGCTCCATCAAAGAACATATAATCTCCTAACACAACCAGACCATCACCAGAGACATCTTAACAAGCAACACTGAAATAATCGACAGGTATAACGACAACAGAAGACTGGACATCAGCGAGGCCCTACACATCAAAAAGTCAAGACCAAGAATCAACAGCCAGTTAACATATAATTACACTCTACCTACCTCAATACCCGGATCCAATGCAGAGACTGGATCCAATAACCAGCTTAGAAACACAAGTAGTCGCAAGAACGTAAGCTGCTTATGTTGATGCATGTATTACACCTATCAATATCCCCTATGTTATGACACTTCATCTACTTGTTCACCTCACCCAAAGAGAATATAAGCCTGTGCAAAAGCATGGTAAATTAGTCTTTGAGAATGTAAGGAGTGACCTTGCGAAATGCATCACTAGGCGTCAGACCAAAAATAAAAGTGTGGAAACATAAGAAATATTGAAAAGATTTGTGTTAGAATCATTAATTCAGAATAACCACATTTGAAAAATAGAGAATGCTTAACGGCTAATTCGCCTTCATCAGAGCAAAGTAGAATGAAGATCATCTTTATTCCACTTTGCTCTGATGAAGGCGAATTAGCCAAAAACGCGTTAAGTATTCTCTATTTTTCACATGTGGTTATTCAGCATACTTGGATTAGTGTTTTTGTGATCATTGTTGCATATGTTATATATATATATATATATATATATATATATATATATATATATATATATATATATATTATATATATCGTACCTAGTAGCCAGAACACACTTCTCAGCCTACTATGCAAGGCCCGATTTGCCTAATAAGCCAAGTTTTCCTGAATTAATATATTTTCTCTAATTTTTTTCTTATGAAATGATAAAGCTACTCATTTCATTATGTATGAGGTTAATTTTTTTTATTTGAGTTAAAATTAACGTAGATATATGACCGAACCTAACCAACCTTACCTAACCAAACCTAACCTATCTTTATAGGTTAGGTTAGGTTAGGTAGCCGAAAAAGTTATGTTAGGTTAGGTTAGGTAGTCGAAAAACAATTAATTCATGAAAACTTGGCTTATTAGGCAAATCGGGCCTTGCATAGTAGGCTGAGAAGTGTGTTCTGGCTACTAGGTACGACATATATATATATATATATATATATATATATATATATATATATATATATATATATATATATATATATATAACATATATATATATGTGTGTGTGTGTGTGTGTGTGTAAATCACGAAAATTAACACGTGATGAAAAATGTGACAGTGTCAGTCCACGAAGGAAGAATTGAAACAGGAATTTCCTTAAGTACTTTCGTATTTAATAATACATCTTCAGAAGGGTGAGTTACAAGTACATAGATTTGGACATATATAGGCAGAAGAGAGGTAAAGTGAAGTGAGATACAATGATAAATATATGATTGGGATTGGGTGGATATAAATAGGAGCTGTATCCTATGGGCCAATAGTATCATACGTTGATATTAATAAGATAGTAGATATTAACACGGTATTAGTGAGACAAATTTGTATCAATGATCCTACTCAATTTTGAGTAGATCAATGATCTACTCAAGAAGATTTTCTTCTCGTCACCTCACTCTTGCCTATTTATTGCCCTCACCTACTTCCCTCACCACACTCAGACACCACTCCTGTGCCAGGTAAGTCCACTACGGGCTCACCATAGCCCGTGCTACTTGCCCCACTCCTGTGCCAGGTAAGCTATGGGCTCACCATAGCCCGTGCTACTTGGAACTTGTTCCGAGTAGCTGAATCTATAACAACAACATTCCCTCATCACAATCGACTTGAGAATGGTCCAGGACAGACCGAAACGTCGTCGTCTTCACTTTCTAGTGTGTGGTCTGGTCAACATAAGGACTTTATTTGCGAATCTGATTGTAGAATTCTTCACAGTGCTTCAGTTAACGAATGTCAGATTACTTCTTCAATTTGCAGCATTGAGCTTTCACCTCATCTAAAGACATTAATTACGCTGATAGACTACAAGAACTGAACCTCACATCGCAAGAGCAAATACAGAAGAAACATGACTATGATGTACAAAATCACCAGGGTAATTTACAAGGTAAACAACCATGTTGCTAGGTATGGGAGGATCCAGGATGATGGGACACATTGAGGCTTTTTATCTAAATCACCCAAAATAACATTAATACCTTCAGATTAATTGTTGTAAAGAGGTAAAATAAATTAGGCAGACTATACACATATATTTAAAATCAGATATGATATAATCCAAGGAGTTAGGGACTCAATATATCAGTTGAACTCATTGAATTTGTGACTTGAAGTAGAGGGGGGAGGGGAAGGGGTAGAAATAGCCTAAGCTACTCTATCAATTTGAGATGTATTTTCTCGTCTCAATAAGCATACTTGAACTTGATATCAGTTGACTGAACAGTGAGAGGTGGAAACCAAGAGCTGGAGCTCAAACACAACTAGGTAATTACTACTAACTTGTCAGGTGCAGTATCAGCAAACGGCATGAGGACCTTGTCAACAAAGGAGCCGAAGCCGAGGGTAAACTGAGAGGTGAGGCTCTTCATCAACTTGGCAAGTTCGCTCCCCAGAGCTGCCAGCTGTTTCTTGTCGTCTTTCATGGAGTTGGAGAGGTCCATGAGGTAGTAGAGGTCCACCGGGTAGTCTCGGGCTTGACGGTAAGTCAACGTTACGTTTATTGGAACTCCTATTTTGGAGAGAAACACTATTAGCATAAAACAGATACAAAAAACTCTACAAAACTCTATTAGCTTCTGCATTTGATGTAAAATGTTAATAACATTCTTTACTAACACCATTAATAAATTATTCAAATCCATTCAATTTGTAAAATATTTATGAACAGGATGTACTTGCACGCTAGGAATGACACTATAGAGCAGCTGGTCTTGACCATACTTTTCAGTCACGAATTATTCCACAATACATAAAAAGGGTAAAGTGTTTTCTCCTTGTAATTATCAGACATGGTAATCTGCTGGACGTCATTAATAGGTGAACTCTCGGAAATAATATTTTGAGACCATATAATGCAGCACTTTATAGTCACCATCTAGTTTGAAATTCCCAACATGGTTTTCGTATAAATTATTTGCAAAATTCATTAGATTTGAAGGCTATCCAGTCTATTTCTCGGAAATTATAACCCTCTGGCTTAATAAATTTGGTCATTTTTAACATTGGAGTCTGTATTATCTTACCTTTGCGTAATTTGAGCTTCATCCTCTGTGGCCTTAACTGAACAATCTTATCTGCCTCTCCTGCACTCTTTCCTGTGTTCTCGTTGCCTGCAACTGTTGCAAGATAATATGGCTGCTATTATACAAATTAACAAAGTGAAACAAATTAACGAAGTGTTCTATTAACAATAAAAATTCGTCATTATGGTATTCTACTAATAATTCCCTCGTTTTATACCTTCATTTTGGGGGGGGGGGGAGGAACACAATAATATATTGTTTCTAAGCCCACAAGTGCACTTGATACATCTAATTTATTCCTAATTCTTCTGGCACTTATTACATTATTTTTGCTTTAAAGCATCAGTCGTCAGCAATAATAGTGAATGTCGAGGTAGAAGGTTAATGGACAAGCATCCAACACCATCACTTCATTCCAACATTTAACAGATAATGAATTAGTTGTAGATTTGGCCAAATTCATATTAATACTGGTATTTGTCCTTGGAAGTGGTTGGGAATATATCGCTAACTCACAAGGTAAATCCGATGAACAAACCCTCGTTAAAGTAAATCCGGTTTATATATGTTGTTTTTATTTTACTTACTAATTCATTTCTTATATATATATATATATATATATATATATATATATATATATATATATATATATAGGTTAAGGAATTTTGTTGATTTGCTGAACTATGAGATCTATTTAATATCTCTTAATATGAAAAGACGGTCAAAGGTATCACACGTTGATGATTATACGGAAACATTTACAGTGTAAACCATTAACTACATCATAAATGAACACATGCTACTCCATGAGATAATTTGCTTATTACAGCCAATTATATCAATAACAAGTGGATGCATGTGTCATTATGGAGACCTGAGGCTTCTTCACCTCTCCGTTCATGGCGCTCCACTACCCTTAGCCAGCCTAGTACACACTACGTTCATGGCGCTCCACTACCCTTAGCCAGCCTAGTACACACTCTCCGTTCATGGCGCTCCACTACCCTTAGCCAGCCTAGTACACACTCTACGTTCATGGCGCTCCACTACCCTTAGCCAGCCTAGTACACACTCTCCATTCATGGCGCTCCACTACCCTTAGCCAGCCTAGTACACACTCTACGTTCATGGCGCTCCACTACCCTTAGCCAGCCTAGTACACACTCTACGTTCATGGCGCTCCACTACCCTTAGCCAGCCTAGTACACACTCTCCTAGTACACACACTTTGTAACACAGCATCAACATGGGTTCAGGGATGGCATGTCTTGCCTCATAGGGTTACTTGAATTTTACGACCAGGCAACAAAAATAAGGCAAGAAAGAGAAGGGTGGGCAGACTGCATATTTTTGGATTGTCAGAAAGCCTTTGATACAGTACCACACAAGAGGCTAGTGAAAAAGCTGGAGATGCAGGCTGGAGTGAAAGGGAAGGTACTCCATTGGATATAGGAGTACCTAAGCAACAGGAGACAACGAGTCAATGTGAGGGGTGAGGTCTCAGATTGGCGAGACGTTACAAGTGGAGTCCCGCAGGGGTCAGTTCTTGGACCTATACTGTTTCTGATATATGTAAATGATCTCCCAGAGGGGTATAGACTCGTTTCTCTCAATGTTTACTGATGATGCAAAAATTATGAGGAGGATTGAAACAGAGGATGATAGTAGGAGGCTACAAGATGACCTAGACAGACTGAATGAATGGTCCAACAAATGGCTGCTAAAGTTCAACGCGAGTAAATGCAAAGTTATAAAACTAGGCGGTGGAAACAGGAGGCCAGACACAGGATACAGAATAGGAGATGAAGTACTTAATGAAACGGACAGAGAGAAAGATCTAGGAGTTGATATCACACCAAACCTGTCTCCTGAAGCCCACATAAAAAGAATTACGTCTGCGGCATATGCGAGGCTGGCTAACATCAGAACAGCCTTCAGGAACCTGTGTAAGGAATCGTTCAGAATCTTGTATACCACATATGTAAGACCAATCCTGGAGTATGCGGCACCAGCATGGAGCCCGTACCTTGTCAAGCACAAGACGAAGCTGGAAAAAGTTCAAAGATATGCCACTAGACTAGTCCCAGAACTAAGAGGCATGAGTTACGAGGAAAGGCTGCGGGAAATACACCTTACGACACTGGAAGACAGAAGAGTAAGGGGAGACATGATCACTACCTACAAAATCCTCAGGAGAATCGACCGGGTAGACAAGGATAAACTATTCAACACTGGTGGTACGCGAACAAGGAGACACAGGTGGAAACTGAGTACCCACATGAGCCACAGGGACGTTAGAAAGAACTTTTTCAGTGTCAGAGTAATTAACAGATGGAATGCATTAGGCAGTGATTTGGTGGAGGCTGACTCCATACACAGTTTCAAATGTAGATATATTAGAGCCCAATAGGCTCAGGAATCTGTACACCAGTTGATTGACAGTTGAGAGGCGGGACCAAAGAGCCAAAACTCAACCCCCGCAAGCACAAATAGGTGAGTACACACACACACACACACACACACACACACACACACACACACACACACACACACACACACACACATTTCTGTCTCTCTCTCTCTCTCTCTCTCTCTCTCTCTCTCTCTCTCTCTCTCTCTCTCTCTCTCTCTCTCTCTCTCTCTCTCTCTCTCTCTCTCTCTCTCTCTCTGAGAGGCTTAACAACCTACAATGTAAGGAAATGAGGTGCCCTCTTATGACTAGCATTCATTTAAGTGCGCCGTCAACACCCGTGCAGGGGAGCGAGGGTGTGACGGTCGCATTTTTCATCTTGTTATCTCATAACGAGGTGATGAGAGCCCCCTTCTAGCATGGGCTGAGGAGGGATGACATCACGTCATAAACTACACCTACTGACTACTTACATACTTCCTTGCTAGATATTAAGCTTAGATTTTGCTAACTCTGACGCTAACCTTCTCACCCTCTGCTACTAAAAGAGGGTTAGTAGCAGATTTAACTGTTGTGGGAACCGACCTGTGAGATTTATATTTATTTAATTTATATGAATTTATATTTACGTTAATTTATATACTTCGATAGCAATTTGTATAATGATAAGTGGACTGTATTTCTGCAATAATCTCATAATCTCACAAATCGATCCTCTACACATTAGGGGGGGTTTATATTACACATATGCAGCCAATCAAATTACAGTAATAGCTACATACATTGATGAGGTTCCTTCTCTTATAGTACAGCAGGTTAGTCCACCAGGTATAACTAGAGTGTAGACACCAAATTATCCTCTTTGAGGTAGCTTCTATCACCCAGTAACTGGTGCACATAATCTTGCATCCTCGTCTTGACCTGTCAAAAGTGCGCTAGCTGTGAAGCCAGAATCCTATATATGACAAGCTATATCAGAGAAAACACTATACAGTACATGGAACTTTAAAGACCTGGCTTAATTACCTTTAGTATGAGGCGATTTCGCGTTCTAACCGGCTAACCCTATATCCTGACATTAATGGCCATAAATGAATGATAAACGGGTTTCGGATAGACACTTAACTTGTATTTGTAGACAGCGTGTTGACAATGGTACACCTTTGGGTTCCATAACACTACGTCCAAGTAAATTTAACAGGAGCCGAATTTGCTCCCGTGTGAGCCTCTGGTCTCATATAACAACAATGGCTGCCCTCCTTCCTCCCTGACGCCTGGCCTACTTTGTCCACATGTCAGAAAGTGATAGAAGGGTCACATTTACTCTACTTTAATATTGATAATTAAGTTAATTTATATAAGATGTTTTATGATGGTAAAGTCCAAAGACTAATGTATTTAAGAACAATTCCCAGCAGAATAGCTGGTGAATTATAATAGTATGTGGTGATGATATCCCGTTTTCTTTAGACGGTAATTCCACTACAAGTTACGTTTTCTATGGGTAACTTGTTTATACAACACAGCTCTTATCTGTCTGTATGATATATTAAATGGTGTCGGATTTTCCGACATAATTCCCCAGGGGGCTGCTCACGGGTCGAAGTCCTATTTAGAACAGACAAACACCGATACTCCTCCTTCGAATTATTAAATTAATTTGATGTTAGTAGTTAGTAATCACACATTTGTGTGTCTGTTCGTACAGGACGGATGTCCCGTACTAGAGTTGTAGGGGTTAGAAGTCTAATGCGATTTCATTTCCCTGTCAACTCTTGAAAGGCTAATATTCAAGCCTTATTACATATTATTTAACCCAGAAGACTGGATGTGATCAAGTACTACAGTCAAGTATGATTCAGGGACTGCAGTGAGATCAGTGACATTAGATATAACTTGAAGTTTCTTCAGGTAACTGGTCACTGATATATAAACACTGAGGCCCATGGAATACATCTTGATTAAATAATAAATGTATCAAATCAGTCATCAAATTTATTAGGGTTTTAATTTAGTTAATTGATTCAGAAGATTGAATAGCTCATCATTAAAGTAAAGTATGGTTCTGAGACTGCAGTGGGTTCAGTGACATTGGTCGCAGTGACTTGTAGCTGTTTTAGGCTACTGTTCACTGATTTGCCACTGAGGCCTCATGAACTCATCTCCAGCTTTAAATGATGATACTAACATCAACCTCTGTTGGTATAGTCAGCTGTAATCTCCTTAGTATAATGCTACTGGAGAAATATAATCAGCTGACAAATTTAGATTTCTACTGGTATTGTTTATCTGCAGGCATAGGTCTCCTCAGGCTTGATACTGGGCCTGAGAGTAATTTACCTCCTGCAGAGTTTAACATGGTTATACCCTGATATTTAGTAGGGCTACCAATGAATCGATGACAATAGTCTGTCCCTACAAGGAGACCGAAGTCGGTGAGGTGATCAGACTTAATATTATCTGCCAATTTTATTCCTCTATTTCTCAGGAATTTGGCTGTTGCTCTCAGACCTTGAACTTGTAGGTCTACTGGTATTTTGTCCACCACAATGGCTTGTACTCGACAGACGTACCTGCCTAAACGAACTGATGGTTGTACCACCTGGTAGACTTGAGGTCCTGCATCTGTTACAAACCCTGAGATGTTGAATGACGTCTGGGCTACAGGCCTTAATTGTAATTC